ACAACTTTAAACAAATTCAGCTGCAACAAAATCTCGACCCTCTTTGTCTTGTTCAAGATGTCCCAACAAGATGGAACAGCACTTATCTTATGCTTGATAGATTAAACAAGTTAAAAATTCCAGTTCAACTATACTTAGCAGAACGTTCTGATTTAATGCCCTTTTCTACATTAGAATGGACATTAATATTAAACATTATTAAACTGTTAAAGCCTTTTTTCCAATTAACTCAGGAAATGAGTTCAGAAATAACAACTTTGTCTTCTGTAATTCCAAATATGTGCTCATTGAAGAAATTTATATCAAAATGTCAAGTTGATTTAAGTATTCAAGAAACAAAGAATCGGCTTACAACTTCTTTAAAAAATCGATTTTTTTCTGAAATAAATGATGCGAAGTCTTTAAACATTTTGAAAAATAGGTACTATGTCATAGCTACTTCAATTGATCCAAGATATAAGTTTTCTTTCTTTGAGGATGATATCAAAAAACAGGCTAAGTACTGGTTAATAAATGAAATTTTATCCTTTGAAAAAACTCTTGTTTGTTCTGAAGAAGTAGATTTTAGTGTAAATGAAGAACCATCACAATTGAATTTTTCAATTAATACTGAAAAAGAAGACACTCTTGAAGCATGTTTCAAAGAAATTATAAATGCAACATCTGAAAAAACATTACCTTTTAAAAAATTAAAGTTAGAGAAAAAATCAAATGAGATTTTGATTAGAAAAGAAATAAAAAAGTTTTATTCTGAACCACTTGTAGACAGAAAACTCTGTCCAATAAAGACATGGATGCAAGAAGAACGATTCCCTCTTTTAAAAACAATTGTTTCAAAACATCTATGCACTCCTGCATCATCCATATTTTCTGAAAGATTGTTCTCAGAATATGGTAATATCTATGAGAAAAAGAGATCTAGGTTATTGCCTAAAACAGGAGAAATGCTTTTGTTTATTCACCATAATGGGAGGAAAATAGAATGACTCTTTGCATTTACTCATTTGTTGAAATTTTATTTGTTATGTTCTTTGATAGTATTATTAACTTTCTAAAACATTTTGTTTCATTGAATTTAATAATTTAATTTAAGAGGCATTCATAAAGTATGTATGCAGGTATGGGAGGCGACATTATCTAAAAATGTTTAAATATTATCTAAAAGTGTACAAGTATGTATAAGGGGTAGGGACAAGAGGGTAAATATGCAAAGTAAGAGCAAAGTCCAGGCAGCAAATATGTAAATGGTTGGGCCATCTTTTTCATGAATTTTACTCCAAAATATTTTTTAAAATTTTTATTTTAAATAAAGACAATTTATTGAGTGAAAAAATCTATAACAAAATATCAAAAAAGAAAAAAAAAAAAAAGTTTATGATGAAATTTCAAAAAAATATAATAAAAGCAAAAAAAAATTTAAACAAAAAAAAAAAAAAAATTTTATTATTTTGATAGAAAATTTTTTTGCAAAACAAATTCTTTAAATTCTCAATTTCGATCATTTTAAATCTTAAAAAAATTGTTGGAAAGTTATGACTGTGTTTTTACCCCTCTCCAAATTGAAGGGGTAATAAATTAAACATGGTCATAACTTTGGAACATAAATTAATTGATGAAATTTAAAACCTATTGATGAATTTAGCTAGAGTATTAGATAGTGTAATGAAATAACTGAATGATTTCCCTTGCATTTGGGATAGGTGATTGAGAAAATAACCTCTAAGGTTATTTTTGTTCCCAAGCTCTAATTACCATGATTTTTTGATGCAAAACACTTTCATTCTATGGAAGCATAAAAACTTAAGTTTAGAGTTTGCACAAAGCTTGATAATGTCAAATCTGAGACTTTTAAAAACATCATGTTAGAGCCCATTTAGCAGCGTGTCGGTAAACCATTTTGATTTAGAGTTCTCAAAATTAAATTTCTACTTAAAAGATAAATTACCCTCCCCTAAAAAAATGTATTTATTAAATAATTCTTAATAGTTTTTCAAACCTCTTTGTGCTAGTATTATCCGGTACATCCGGCCGGATATAGTAAATATCCGGCCGGATACCGGATAGTAAATTATCCAGTATTTTCAACCGGATATCCGGCCGGATATCGTATCCGGTACACCTCTAATATATATATATATATATATATATATATATATATATATATATATATATATATATATATATATATATATATATATATATATATATATATATATATATATATATATATATAAATATATATATATATATATATATATATATATATGTATATATATATATATATTTATATATATATATGTATATATTTATATATATATATATTTATACATACATATATATATATATATATATATATATATATATATATATATATATATATATATATATATATATGTATATATATATATATATATATATATATATATATATATATATATATATATATATATATATATACACATAAATATATTTATATTTATATATATATATATATGAATAT